TGTCTCTATAAATTTGCCTGTTCTAAACATTTTACATACGTGGAATCATACAATTTGGTCCTTTCCCATTGGCAACTTTCATTTAGCATAGTATTTTCAAGACTCATCCATATTGTAGCATGTGTCATTACTTCATTTCTTCATTTGTGTGAAAGTGTGTGTGTGTGTGTGTGTGTGTGTGTGTGTGTGCTTACTTTTTAACTGATTTTGAGAGAGAGAGAAAAAGAGAAACATCAATTTGTTGTTCCACTTATTTATGCATTCATTGGTTGATTCTGACCAGAGATTGAACCTGCAACCTTGGTATATCGGGACAGTGCTCAACCAACTGAACTACCTAGCCAGAGCTCATTTCCTTTCCTTTCCAAATAATAATTCATTTTATGAATAAACCACATTTTATTTACTCATTTATCAGTTGATGGATATTGGGTTGTTTCCACTTTGGAGCTATTACGAATAATGCTGCTGTGAACTTGCATGCACTAGTACAAGTTTTTGTGTGGAAATAAGTTTTCATTTCTCTTTGGTATATCCCTGGAGTGGAATTTCTGGGTCAGAAATTTAGCTTTTTGAGGAACTGCTGAACTTTTCCAAAGCAGTTGCATCATGCTCTATTTCCACCAGCAATATATCAGGGTTTGAATTTCTCCACATCTTTGCCAACTCTTGTTATTATCTTGTATTTTATTATAGATTCATGATCTTTTTAGTACTATTATACTCCATTTCCCTTTGTAGCTGTGTGATTTGGATCAGCTGTAGACCTGACTCAGATGTTTTCCTTATAAAGAGGTTAGCTTATCTGGGCTTCTTGAGTAGTTTAAAAGTGGCATCACAGTGTAGAGGTTAAAAACTTGGGTTTTAAAGTCAAATAAACCTGCCTGGCTGGTTTGGCTCAGTGGATAGAGCGTAGGCCTGTGGACTGAATGATTCTGGGTTTGATTCCAATCATGGGCACATCCCCAGTAGGGGGCATGCAGAAGGTAGCCAATCAATGATTCTCTCTCATCATTGATGTTTCTACCTCTCTCTCCTTCTCCCTCTCTGAAATAAAAATAAATAAATAAATAAATAAATAAATAAATAAATAAATAAATAATAAAATAATAAAGTCAAATAAACCTTGATTCAAATCCTTGCTCCCCTACTTAATTTCTGTGTGCCTTGGGCAAGTTGCTTTAAAAATATATATTTTATTGATTTTATACAGAGAGGAAGAGAGAGAGAGATAGTTAGAAACATCAATGAGAGAGAATCATCGATCAGCTGCCTCTTGCACACCCCCTACTGGGGATGTGCCCGCAACCAAAGTACATGCCCTTGACCGGAATCGAATCCAGGACCTTTCAGTCTCCAATCCGATGCTCTATCCACTGAACCAAACCGGTTTCGGCAGGCAAGTTACTTTAAAGTGAAGATAATTTCTACTACCTTCTTGGTGTTGTGGAAATGCATTTGCATAGAAAGCACTAAATAGCCCAGATCAGTTTGGTTTGGTTCAGTGGATAGAGCCTGTGGATTGGCCTGTGGATTAAAGGGTCCCAGGTTCAATTCCAGTCAAGGGCATGTACCTCAGTTGCAGGCACATCCCCAGTAAGGAGTGCACAAATGGCAGCTGATCGATGTTTCTCATCAATGTTTCTAGTTTCTAGCTCTCTATCCCTCTCCCTTCCTCTGTAAAAAATCAATAAAAAATTTTTTTTAAAAAAGAAAAGCACTGAATAAATGGTAGCTCTGCTACTGCTGCTGCTATTTCTTTTTAATCTGTCCTAATGGTATATGTGAACTAAGTTTAATATCAAATAAAGATACCCCAGCATTCCTGAAAGACTGTATAATTTGTGGGCAGAAGAGATTGGGGCAGTAGTTTATGGAACACTTGCCAAAGATGTCACATTGGTCTGCTTTCATCAGAATGCAGGCTGGTTGCTACCACCATGCTCCCCTCCCTGCCACCAACATTAATCTTTAGCGTAGGAGAGTTATTTGCTGACATATGCCTATTCTTTTTCTTAAATCCCAAGGAACTGACACATTGGAACACCTGTTTTAAAAAGCCCCTCTCTGATGAGGAGAGGGAATGATAAAAATCATAAAACGCTGAAAACACCATAAAACGATGGGCTTAATTTTATATAAAGACAAAATAGTAATCTTATGGCATTGGGTGAACTTAAAATATGATAGAAAATCAATTTCAGGGGTAGCACCTATTTTTGAGCACATGCCCTGGACAGCAGATGAAGTGAAAAGGCAGAGTTACGGAAAACATTGGCCATAGCTACAGACAAAAGGTAGAAATGCTTTTTGATCACCCTGTTCAGTCAATTTAGTAACAGAATTTCAGCATGATAGGAAGAAATGCAGATTTCTATCAAGGATAAAGGAGAATTAAACAGGATTCAGTAACATAGTAAAAGGGTCAAACTATGCCTTTTTAAAAAAAATATTCCTTTATTAACTTTTAAAATATATATATTTTATTGATTTTTAACAGAGAGAAAGGGAGAGAGATAGAGAACTAGAAACATCGATGAGAGAGAAACATCAACCAGCTGTCTCTTGCACACTCCCTACCGGGGATGTGCCGCAACCAAGGTACATGCCCTTGACAGGAATCGAACCTGGGACCTTTCAGTCTGCAGACTGACGCTCTATCACTAAGCCAAACCAGCTTCGGCAAACTATGCCTTTAAAAAAAAAAAAATCTTGTTTCTTATAGGAGGAATGAAGTTCAGGATATAGTTATTTATCATATAATCATTGGAAGAAAGAATGTTGGTGACACCGCAACAGAAAAATTTCCTTAAAGACCTTTCCTGTAGTTCTTAAAAGTTTGTGTGCTATAGGTGTGGTGAAAATAAGGGAAAGGGGAGGGTAGTTTTAAATGTTTGAGTTTGTTGTGGCATTTTTATTTTTATTTTTTTAATATGAAGTCCTCTGAGGCTCACATGCTAGTGTTAGGTGTGTGCTTACCTGAGTAGTGCTCACTAGTAAGTATATGCTCCAGTTGGGATATGCCCTCTGTCTGACAGAGGCTTCCATTCTAGTCACCATAAGCTGGGACTGTGTTTATTATTTCCTTTCTAGTCTTTTTAAATGTGTAGTCTTCAATCTTTCTCTTACCTATGTAGCTCTTTGTTTGATTCTTGGGACTCCACACAACTTACCCCAGTCTGTCCTCCTCACCACTAACATATAACCTATTTTCCTAAAACACTATGTTCATTATGTCACCCTTTCCCCTTTCAGCAATCTGCTTTGGACCCATCTACTGTCTATTCCAGAATCCTCACTCACCTGCCTATCTTTTAAGACCAAACTTCCCTTTTTTCCTCCAATATAGATACACTATTCAAATTATCCTAATACATTTCTACTTCTTGTCCTTTACCCATGCTCTTTTTTACATAGAAATTCTGCTATTGTTCTTTAAATCTGTTTCAGTCCCATGGGTCACTAGATGCCCTGCCCAGGTTCCATCTTTATGTAGAATAAGCTCTCTTATATGTAATCCTAGTGCTAGTCATACAAGGTGAATTAAAATCACCTTGCTCCGGACAAAACCGGTTTGGCTCAGTGGATAGAGCATCGGCCTGTGGACTGAAGGGTCCCAGATTCCATTCCGGTCAAGGGCACGTACTTTGGTTGTGGGCACATCCCCAGTGGGAGGTGTGCAGGAGGCAGCTGTTCGATGTTTCTTTCTCATCGATGTTTCTAATTCTCTATTCCTCTCAATTTCTCTCCGTAAAAAATCAATAAAATATATTTAAAAATAAATAAATAAAATCATCTTGCTCCCAAAGGACTTGTATGCATGCATATTAGCATAACCAATGGACACAGACACTGGGGTGGAGGGGGCTTGCCTGGGGTGGGAATGGTTGCGGGGGGGGGGGGGGAAGTGTGTGTCAAGTTGGGGGAAAAGGAGACCTATGTAAAACTGTAGACAATAAATAAATAATAAATAAAATAATAAAATCACCTTGCTCCCAAAGAATCTCATCTCCCTTCATTTTCCCTCAGCTATAGTCACACAGGCCTACATTCCTTTTTCTTAAATCCCAAGGAACTGACAAATTGGAACACCTGCTTTAAAAAGGCGTTCCAATGAATACCTCAAACTTATGAAGCTTATTTTTCACCTTGAGAACTTCATTTTTGTTATTCCTTCTGCTTTAATATATCCCCTACCCCCATCTTCACAGCACTTATTCATATCATCATTCAAGTTTCAGTTTTCACTGTTGAAGAGTGCTGAACCCGGAAGAGGCCTTCCATCTTAACCAGCCACCAGGTGCTCTGCTGTGTACCCCTACTGATGCTGGATTACTTATCCCTTTCTGCCATCGTCTTGGGTTTTCTGCCTCATCTCTTCCACCTCCACTTTAGAATGTAAACTCCTGAGGGTCAGGTTTCTATCTTGCTTACCACAATATTCCCGGTACTTTGAACATACCTGACACACATCCGGCTTTCAGTAAATATATGTTGACTGAGATGTCCTTGACACTGTGCTTGACCATGGGAACAATGGGCTGTGAATCATGGGCATCAAGGTGAGTGATCTGTCCATTGTCAAAATATGCTACTGTAGACTGCTTGATCAGTTTCCACTTATGTGCTTGTTTATCTTTTGATGAAACCTGCTTAATTGTACTCGAGTTTTCACTTCTCCCATATTCTACTCAGAATAGAAAAAGAACTGCCTCATTTATTATAGGTATGTTCAAAGCTAACCAGGGTTGCTGGCATTTCTGTAAATACTGTGTGTTAAGAAGAATGTAAAAGAGTTATATTGCCACTATCATATGGCCTTGTGATAAACTGGCCATTTTAGGGAAGTGCTGTACCCACTGGGATTCCCTGTTAAACCAGTCCACTCAACTTTTTTGTGCTTTCATTTTATTCCTTTCTAGAATGAGTTTGGGGATTAGAGGTAAATAACACCAGGAAAATACAGAATGCCTAAATTTTTAATTTCTCCCCCTTCTTAGATGTGAACGATTAGAAGAACAACTAAATGACCTAACAGAGCTCCATCAGAATGAAATCTTGAACTTGAAGCAGGAATTGGCCAGCATGGAAGAGAAAATTGCATATCAGTCCTATGAACGGGCCCGGGACATCCAGGTTAGCATGAAGGATCCAGGTGTAAAAGCAAAAGATTAAAAAAAGTAGAATGATTGTTGCCAATGACTAGGGGATATGGGATGGGGGATTGTTGTTAAATAGGTATAGAGCTTCAGTTTTACAAGATGAAAAGAGTCATAAGATAGATGATGGTGATGGTTGCATAACAATATGAATGTATTTAATACCACTGAACTTTATACTTAAAAAGTTAAAGTGATAAATTTTGTTATGTATATTTTAACAAAAAAAGAAAAAGGAATGAAGTACTGATAATTTTACAACATAGGTAAATCTGAAAAACATGGTGTTCAGTTAAAAGAAACCTGTTAGAGAAGACACATATTATATTATTCCATTTATATGGAATGTCCAGAATAGGCCAACATATGGAGACAAAGTAGATATGTGGTTGCCTGGGGCTGTGGAAAAGGAAATTGGAAAGTGATAGCTGAGAAGCAGCGGGTTTCTTTTTGGGGTGATGAGAATGTTCTAGAATTTTTATAGTAGTGTACAATATTGTGAATGTACTAAATGTTATTAGATTGTACATTTTAAAATGGTAAATTTTGTGTTAGGTATATTTTACCATAATAAAAAGAAGTTTAGGGGGGAAAGGTTGGGAGGTTAGAGTATCAAAAGAAACCAATACCAGCTATAATATACCTGCTCTTCATTTCTCAAAAATCTATACAATTTGAAGGTGATATGCTTGCTTGGGTTTCTGGGAAATGTTTCTTAGGCTCAAAATAGTCTCAGCCTATGGGAAACCATATGCACTACATCTGTTAGTTACTGCTTGTGTGGACAAGTCTCATGGCCATCTTGCCCATCTTCTGTAGCAAAGGGGGCTTTTGTCCTAGCTGCCAAGTCAAAACCTTGTAGAGGTACATTGCTAGGCAGTTTGTGAGAATATCACAAGGCAATCATGTGTAAGGCTCGTAGTAACCTTCTAGTTTATTCTGTGGGAAAATAGAATATTTATCTTTTGCTCGTCTAGTTGGGAGGTATTTCTAAAGGGAACAGTTGGTAATTTAGTGTGAACATCTTGAAATTAGTCTTAGAGAAGGTCCAGGAAATTTGTATTACAGTAGCCTAAAAGAATCAAGAGAATGTCTATATTATTTGCCCAGCTATTGTCTTGTCCAGGCACCAGGAATTCTGTTTATTTTTTAGTTTTTCCCCCCAAGATTATAGTGGATCTGGAAGTATCCTTTGTCCATTCTCTAGCTAGCTTCAGTCTGAAGTTGCCTGACCTTCAGTTCAAATCCTAGGAAACCAGGACCTATTGAAACCAAGATCAGAAAAATCCAGGGTTCCACCAATGCTGAATTTTGGAGGATATCTGACCTAAGGGAATAGGTTCTATCCTCTGAGTGTTGTGGTAAATTTCATAAAAATTAATGGGTGAAGGTCATAGCCTTAAGGGGAGCAGATCACTTGTAATATTTGGTCTAGTATTTGAGCATAGTATCTTCTCTACACGGATCAGTAAATCTTAAAAAGGGGAAGTACTCTCTGCTTTGTACTTAAAAGACAGAGCAGAGAGCCCTTTCCACTGATGTCAGGGACTTACTTGACGTAAAAGAACACCTGGTAGGGTGTATCTCCATTGTTATAGTGGAAACATTGGAAATAACCTAAATCTCTCCAATACGGAACTGGCTGACATATTTATACTATAAAATTACCGGCATCAGTTAAAAAGAATGAGGTGGGTTTCCACGTGTTGACATAAAGAGATTGACAAGACTCACTGTTGAGTGAAAGAGGCAAGCGTGGACAGTCCCATATTATGATAGAAGATAAAAAAATAATTCCATTTCTCTAGGCACATATTTGTATACATTTAAAACATAGGTGAAAGGATGAAAACAAACCAAACTGCAGTATTTACTTCAAGAGCAGGGGCTGGAACTGAGGAAAATATCAAGAGAAAGTATGTGTCCTATTTGAATTTTTTATGGTGAACAAGTAGGTGTGTCTTGTGCAACTTAATAATTTTTAAGTGAAAAAGAAGCAAAATTATAAAAAAAAAAAAAAAGAAAGAAAGAAAGAAAAAAAAAGAAGCAGCATTATATATTTGAGATCTTGTCCATAAAATTTTCAACCAAATCTAATTGTATCAACGGCTTCTTGTGAGCCATCCCACAGGAGTGCAATGGAGGACAGTTTAGGTGAATAATAGTCTAGACTCCTTTTGTCACCTTGTATTTAATACTCTCTTTGTCCTCCCCTACCCACTTCTTCTCTGGTAACCACCATTTTGTTGTCTGTATCTATGGGTTTATTTGTTTTGTTTTGCTTTTTGTTTGTTTGCTTTTTGTTTTATATTCCACATATGAACGAAATGATATGGTTTCTTGTTTTTTTCTTTCTGATTTATTTTACTTAGCATAAGTCTTTCAAAATCCATCCATCTTGTCATAAATGGCAATATTTCATCATTTGTTTATTAATTCTCACCCAAATATATTTTCCTATTGGTTTTTAGAGAGTGGAAGGGAGAGAGAAAGTCAAAGAGCAAGAAACGTTGTAAGAGAGAGATATGGATTGGTTGCCTTCTGCACGTACCCTGACCAGGGCCTGGGGCTGGAGTCTGCAATCCAAGTCCATACCCTTGACAGGATATGAACCCGAGACCCTTCAGTCCACAGGCCGATGCTTTATTCACTAAGCCAAACTGGTTAGGGCTAATTCTTAATTTTTTTTAGGAACCTCCATGCTGTATTCCATAGTGGCTACACCAGTTTATATTTTTACCAGCAGTATAGGAAAATTCTCTTTACTCCACATCCTGTGCAACGTTTATTTCTTGTCATATTGATAATAGCCATTCTGACTACCTCATTATTTTGGTTTGCATTTTTCTTACAGCTAGTGATGTTGAGCATTTTTTCATATATATTTGTTGGTCATCTGTATGTCTTCTTTGGAAAATATCTATTCAGGTTCTCTGCCCATTTTTTAATTGGACTGTTTGGGAGTTTTTTCTTGTTGAGTTGTTCTTTGTATATTTTGGATTTTATCCCTTCCCGGTAGTTAACATTTACAAAATACCTTCTAGAATTTGGTTGGTTGCTTTTTTGTTTTGTTAATTATTCCTTTTGCTGTGCAGAAGCTTTTGGTCTGATGTAGCCTATTCATTTATTTTTGCTTTTACTTCCCTTGCCTCTGGTGTCACAAATACCCCTCTGAAATGAAGGTCCTGAAGTTTGGTGACTGTGTTTTCCTCTAATTGTTTTCCAGTCTTATATTCAAGCCTTTAAACTACTTTGAGTTTATTTTTGTGTGTGGTGTCAGATAGTCAGTCTAGTTTCATTCTTTTCAGTTTCCCCAACACTATTTATTAAAGATGTTCCTTTCTCCATTATATATTTTTGGCTCCTTTGAAAAGTAGGTGCCCATATATTTATGGGTTTATCTCTAGGCTCTCAGTTCTGTTCCATTTGTCCATTTCTCTGCCAATACCTTGTTGTTTTGATTATTATAGTTTTGTAGTATAATTTGAAGCCAAGAAGTATGATACCTATAGTTTTGTTCTTTATTCCAAGGATTGATTTGGTTATTTGGGATCTTTTGTAGTTTCATACAAATTTGAGGGTTTTAAAAATTCTATTTCTAAGAGAAATGCCATTGGGATTTTGATAGGGGTTGCATTAAACCTATACACTGGCCAGATTATTATGCATTCTGAGATCATAATAATCTAATATATATAATTTTGAGGCCTGGGTGCACAAAGTTCATGCACGGGGGGGAGGGGGGGACTGTCCCTCAGCTCAGCCTGCACCCTCTCTAGTCTGGGATCCCTCTCACAATTTAGGACTGCTGGCTCCCAACTGCTCGCCTGCCTGCCTGCCTTCCTGACTGCCCCTAACCACTTCTGCCTGCCAGCCTGATCACCCCTAACCACTCCTGTGCCAGCCTGATTGATGTCTAACTGCTCCCTGCCAGCCTGTTTGCCCCAACTTCCCTCCTCAGCTGGCCTGGTCACCCCTAACTGCTCTCCCCTGCAGGCCTGGTGCCTCCCAACTGCTCCCCCTGCTGGCCATCTTGTAATGGACATCTTGTGTCCACATGGAAGCAGGATCTTTGACCACATGGGGGCAGCCATTTGTGTGTTGGAATGATGGTCAATCTGCATATTATTATTTTATTAGATAGGATAGAAGCCTGGTGCATGGGTGGGGGCCAGCTGGTTTGTCCTGAAGGGTGTCCCAGATCAGGGTGGGAGTTCTCTTGGGGCATGGGGTGGCCTGAACAAGGGGCCTATGGTGGTTTGCAGGCCAGCCAGGCCCCCCAGTGACCCAAGAGGAGGCCCTGATATCTGGAATTTATTTACCTTCTACAATTGAAACTTTGTAGCCTGGATCAGAGCCAAGCCTTCTGCTTGCTCTGTGGCTGCCCCCATTTCTGTTTGGATTTGTTTACCTTATATAGTTGTAGCCTTGAGTGGAGCCTTAGGTCAGCAAGGGCAGGCGGAAAGCTTAGCTTCTTCCATTGTCAGAGAAACCCAAGCGTCCCTCCTGCTCTCTGTGGCTGCAGCCATCTTGAGTGAGGTTAATTTGCATACTCACTCTGATTGGTTGGGGTGTGGTTTGTGGGTGTAGCAGAGGTGTGGTCAATTTGCATATTACTGTTTTATTATATAAGATTAGAGGCCTGGTGCATGAACTCATGCATGGGTGGGGTCCAGCCTGCCTGCTGGTCAAACTCCTGGTTGAGGGGACAATTTGCATATTAGCCTTTATTATATAGGATATACACTGAGTGGCCAGATTATTATGCATTCAGAGATCATAATAATCTGGCCACTCTGTATATTGCAACACTGTGTTGTAGTTTCCAAGTCCTTCACTTCTTTTGTTAAGTTTATTCCTAAGTATTTTATCCTTTTTGTTGCAATTATAAATGAAAATTTTTTCTTCATTTCTTTTTCTGATACTTTGTTAGTATATAGGAGTGCAGCAGTTTTTTGTATGTTGATTTTGTATCCTGTAACTTGACTGTATTTATTGTTTTTAATAGTTTTTTCATGGAGTCTTTAGGATTTTCTATATAGAGAATCATGTCTCCTGTAAATAATGACAGTTTTACTCTTCATTCCAAAATTAGATGCCTGTTCTTTTTTCTCTTGCCTAACTGCTCTGGCCAAGACTTCCAATACTGTATTTAATAGCATTGGTGAGAATGGGCACCTTGTCTTATTCCTGATCTTAAAGGAAAAGGGTTTTTTTTTGTTTTGTTTTTTTACCATTTAGTATGTTAGCTGAGGGTTTGTTACATATGGCCTTTATTGTGTTAAGGTACTTTTCTTCTATACCAATTGCATTAAGTGTTTTATCATAAGTGGATGTTGTATCTTGTCAGATGCTTTTTCTGCATCTATTGGTATGATTACATGATTTTTATCTTTTATTTGTTAATAGGGTGTTTTGACCAATTTGCATGCATTGAACCATCCTTGCACCCCTGGAATGAACCCCACTTGATGATGATATTTTATCTTTTTAATATACCCTTATATTCAATTTGCCAATATTTTGTTTAGGATTTTTGCATCTATGTCCATCAAAGATATTAGCCTATTACTTTCTTTTTTCTGTTATTATTACTGGGTTTTGGTTTCAGAATAATGTTAGCCTTGTAAAATTAGTTAGGAAGTATTACTTCCTTTCAGCTTTTTTGGAAGAGCATGAAAATGATAGGTATTAAACCTTTGAATGTTTGGTGGAATTCACCAGTGAAGCCACCTGTTCTTGGACTTTTGGGGGTTTCTCTTTAAGAGTTTTATTTTTTTATTTTTTTTATGACAGTTTCAATTTCCTTACTAGTGATCAGACTATTTAGGTTTTCCAATTTTTCATGTCTCGGTCTAGGAAGGCTATATATTTCTAAGAATTTGTCTATTTATTCAAAATTATTAAATTTGGTGGCATAAAGCCTTTCATAGTATTCCTGCATAATTCTTTTTTTAAATAAATTTTTATTCATATTATTACAAATGTTCCTTTCCCCCCCCCCTCCATTGCTCTCCTCCACCAGGTTCCCACCCCACCCTCTGCCCTTTCCCCTCCCCCCATTGCACTCATCCATAGGTGCACAGTTTATGTTCAGTCTCTTCCCACATCCCCCTCTCCCCTTTTCCCCAAGAATCGTCAGTTCACTCCCCTTCCATACCTCTGATTCTATTATTATATATTCCATAGTTAATATTGTTCATCAGATTTTTTTTCCCCCTTGGTTTTTAGATTCACTTGTTGATAGTTACGTATTTGCATAATTCTTTGTACTTCTCTGGTGTCAGTTGTAACTTCTCTTTCATTTTTTATTTTATTTGAGTCTTTTCTTTTTTTTCCTTAGCAAGTCTAGCCAGAGTTTTGTCAGTTATTTCTTTTCAAAGAACCAGCTCTTTGCTTCATTATTTTTTTCTATTATCCTTTTGTTCTCTGTTTCATTTATTCCCACTCTAATTTTTATTACTTTCTTCTACTGACTTTGGAATTTCTTTGTTCTTTTTATAGTTCTTTAAGGTATAATGTTAAGTAGTTTATTTGAGATTTTTCTTATTTCTTGAGATAGGCCTGTAATACTGTAAACTTTTTCATACCGTTTTTGTTGCATCCCCCAAATTTTGGTATGTCATATTTTTATTTGTCTCTCTGTATCTTTTGATCTTTTGTTTTATTTGTTTCTTATTTGACCCAATAGTTCAGCAGAATTTTGTTTTATCTTCACATATTCATGTTTTTGTCAGCTTTCTTCTTATAGTTTTATACCATGTTGATCAGGTATTAGGCTTTGGTATGTTTTCTGTCTTTTCAAATTTATTGAGATTGGTTTTTGTGCTACAGCATGGTCTATCCTTGAGAACGTTTTGTGTGCACTTGAAAAGAATGTACATTCTTGTCATTTGGGTATGGAAAGTTCAATAAATACCAAATATGTTCTTTGCTCTAATGTGTCCTTTTTTTTTTTAGTTGGGATAACACTCCAACTAACTGACCCACCTGGCCAGGGCCAGAGCTACCTGCTTTTTACGAATGGTCACTGGCCCCACTGTGTTTTTGGAGGTGTCTCTACTGCCTCTCTCCTAGGCTCTGCCAGGAAGGGGCAGGGACATGTCCATGGTTTTGCGCCTGCTGTCCTGTTTGAGATAGCTCACTTTTCTCTGTCTGCTCTGTTGGGTTGGGTGGGACAAGGGAGGCAAGTTCATGATCTTTTAGCTTCACCCAACTGCTAGCAACAGTTGTCATCACCTCTGAGTTGCCTGCTCTGGTCTTAGCCTTCTTTGCAGGGTTCTTCAGCTGTTCTGATGCGTTGATCTTTTAGGCATGTTTGTATGTTGAGCAGGGGATCGTTTTTTTTTTAATTATATTAGTCTGATTTGTAAATTTAAGGAGAGAAACAAAGGAGTCTTCTATTTTACTGTGGTCACTCTCTAGTATATTTTAAATCATTGGCATAGCTCAAGATGCATCTGGCTTGCCCCAGGGGCAAATCAGGCTACTGATTACTTGTGAGCAAAAGATTTAACTATTCCCTGTTCTGGCCCACAGGAGGCCCTGGAGGCGTGCCAGACCCGCATCTCCAAGATGGAGCTGCAGCAGCAGCAGCAGCAGGTGGTGCAGCTGGAAGGGCTGGAGAATGCCACTGCCCGGAACCTTCTGGGCAAACTCATCAACATTCTTCTGGCTGTCATGGCAGTTCTTTTGGTCTTTGTCTCCACAGTAGCCAACTGCGTGGTTCCTCTTATGAAGACTCGCAACAGGACGTTCAGCACTTTATTTCTTGTGGTTTTCATTGCCTTTCTCTGGAAGCACTGGGATGCCCTCTTCAGCTATGTGGAACGGTTCTTTTCATCCCCCAGATGATGCTGGCAAAAGAAGGCAGTGCTCCCTTACCCTCTGGCGAGTGCATGCAGCAAAGAATTAGACAGCAACTTACCTACTCTGAAGTTTTCTACAACAACAAAAGAGTTGAGTGAATCTGTTTACATTTAGAATAATGTTTTTTTCTTCAAGAGACGCAATTGCAATAGTATTTTTTAGATTTTATCCAAGAAGTTTTTTGGGCAAAATTCTTGGATCATTTTTATGTAGCATGATTTTCCTTGGGATGCAAATCTTAAACAGTCCTTTAACATGAACCAACAATCTGGAGCACACTGAAGGGAATCTAAAATGTGGCTTGAAAAACTGCACTAAAACCCACTAAAAAGATGCGAAAACCTGATTAGGGAAACCAGTCAAACCTAACACCCTGCCTTGTCTGGGCTCACCACCTCTCCCCTCCCAGACTAACTTTACTGTGAAATCCTACCACATTCCATGTCTGAATTTTTGGATTCAGGGCGGATTTTCCTTGTCCATGGAAGAACACAAGGATCTCCCTGGCTTTCTCACCCAAGTTGGCCACTCGTGCTAATGCTGAAAGTATGATTGCTTTTGAACCTGGTCCTTTAACCTTTGCTAGGATACAAGTGTGAGAGCATCATACCCCACAGGATCACTGCATAATCCTACTACAGTATTTTGAAGTAACCCTCCAAATACGTAATTTTAAGCAAAATCCCATGGCCGCACTTTTAAGGTTTTTTAAAAAACGTGTATAGTCATCAATTAAAAAAAAAAAATCCGAACAGCATACTTGAAGAATGTAATACTCAAACTCTCAGTGCTTCCTTATGGTTTCTAATAGGATTTTTTATTGTTAATATTATTGGGTGGTTTGTGTTTTTTTGTTTTGTTTTTTGAAAGGGTTGGGAGGGTCTTTTACTTTTCCTTTGAAATAAAGAAGTGATGTTTTTAAATGAAGAAATGTGTGGATATTTAAGTGTGCTGCTGCCTCTTGTCTTGGAACAGTTTGAGTAAAGGAAGACTTGCTATAAATGCTGCCCTCTGATGCCCTTGTTTTGTGATGCAGCTTAAACTCCCTTGTCTGGCTGCTGCTGCTGCTGTTTGCTGTTTGCTGCCCCATCACCACCACCACTTCACGGGCTTGGCTTGGTTGGAGAGGAAAGGGTGTGCAGGGAGAAGTTGTTTTCACAAACCAGCTTGATAGGATGGAGATTTTTTTGTCCTAAGAGAATGTTCACTCAGTGACTTTGGACTGAACTGTCTTTAGGGAAAAATGAGACTAAGAGAGTCATAATAATTCCTTGTGTTTCCTTAATTTATTTGTTAACACCTCCTAATTACTGAAACCAAAGTGATTATGAATCTTCTGTCTGCATTTTGGCCCCTGCATCCTTAATTTCAAAGCTTTATTTTGTCTGCCTGAGAGAATTAACTGATGGTGATTCTCCCTAAAGAGCAGAGAAGGAGATATCAGGTTAGAAGGACCCAGGTTTGGGGTGGATAAAGTGTTGTCAGTTTCCTAGTCATATAGACTGACATTAACATAATTGTGCTCAGTGGACTTTTTATAGACAGTTTAGAAAAATGGACTGAGACTTCTTCCCCTTTCTATAACCAGTTTCATCATCTTGGTGGAACTTGGGCTTTTAGAGCTTATCTAGAAAGTATATTTGTGGCATTAAGTCACCTCTTAGCCTCAGCTCTGTGCAACCGAGTAATGAGCAAGGGGCACATGATGTGCCCCAAAAAGAGAACATGCTTTGCCTGTCTCCCCCTATCCCGGGAAATTCCTTTGAAACCAGATTAGCATTGCCTTGTCTATCTGACAGCATGGTTTACATGACGGCTCCAGCCGCTGGTGGCTTTGGCAGGCTGGCTTTCTCAGAGTCAGCATGTTGTTACCATAATCATTTTGATATTTTAACTCAGGTATCCCAGTCTTCATTCTATCCCCGGATGATTGTAGCATACCTGTTAGCTCTGTTGACCTCTCAAAAGTAGTGCCCAGAGCAGGGATCAGGGTGGAATTTTTTTTTCTTTTAATCACAAGGGAGATTTTTCTTTTAAAAAAATAATTGGAACCAATTCATGTTCAGGCCAAAAACAAATTGTTCCGAAGCCGATGTATTGAAAATGTTAACTTTGTCTAAAAATATTGCAGTGATTTTAGACCGGCGTGCCAAAGGACACCATGACTTTGTTGAACTAGCACAGTTTGTTCTTGCTGTTTTAGCTTAAGGCTCAGAATAGAGAGCCACAGTTTGCCAGTTTTCCTAAGATGGAACCTTTGCGTCCCCTAACCTGTGTAAAGGCTACTAAGTTTGGCGGGCACTAGAAGTCACTGTGATAGATGAATTTAAATTATCCTTATGCCTTGGGATGGTTTCTATCAAAGGAATGTTTTTACCTCTGGAAAGCCCCCTAAAATCCCAGCCAAACATGCCTGTGCTGACTTCCCATTTTCTCTCAAGCTGTCCTAGGAAGGACCTGCAGGTTGGATCAGGCACAGTCATGGCCCTTCTAGCTCTCTAGTTTCTTGATTGTTCAGCAGGTCCAACAGTTGTTTGCATTTAATGCTATGTGTAACTATGAATATGGTGTGATGCTTTTCCCATTTTCTGCTGCCCATACCTATCACCTTTGAGTTTCTTTGCAGTGTGACTGTTCTTGGATTCTCTTGTCTGTTCAGAGCTCTTCTATAACCTTGCTCTAATGATTTAACAATTGTTCTGTAGATGGAAAATTCCCATCATTTTAATGCTTCTTCTCTTTTAAAGACTACATGCATTCCCTTTGAAATGAAGCATTCCTGGATTACTTGTTAGTGGTGGTGCCTGAGGCTGTCGGTGGTAGCCTGGGTGACTATGTTCAGGTTATAGAATGACTAATATTTTACATTTTTTTATGATAATTGAAGGACATGTCTGTCTGCTCCAATTTCAATTCCTTGGTATATACTCAGTGCATCCTAGCAAGGGAGGCTTTCTATTCCAGTGGCTCCTTAATTTTACACTTCACATTGACTGGGACCCTTTCTCTCCCTTGTACCCCCTCCATCCAATTGACATAGAAATCCGATAAGGAAAATACTGAGATTAAGCCTTCCTTGCTAGTCATGTCCTAATAACGAGCATATTTTCATGTGTCTTTAACCACCTTTGGTTTTGTTTCTAATTTCATATTCCTTTGAGGTACAGTCAGATGAAATGCTGAATTCCGAGAGAGTTCCAGTACAGAGCTGCCTTTCAGCTTTGGAAAATATGCATCCAAAACAAAACCAAATACTATAGTCAACAAATTCACAAAGGCAAAATTATGGTTCCCACCCCTCAATGAGACTGGGGATTTTGAATGTGGCTCTTAAGAGTTAACATTTCTATCTGTGTGTTATGTATGCTAAGTGATATCCCCAGTAGGACTGACTACTAGACTGTAAGTGTGTTTTATCAAAGTGTGTAAGAATAAAAACTCGCACGAATTGAAAAGTACAGAAATGACACTTGTGAATGTGTGAACGTTAACACTGTAGTTGATAGATCTTAAGCTGCTAATTGTTGAGAGAGAATTACATTTTATGTTTTGTCTGGTTGCTGCAGATTCTCAGCAGCACTTTTACTGTATATACAAATTGAAATAAAGACCTCAGCTATTAACGAGGCGGTTGGACTTGGGTTTGTTTTGCTCTTTATTTTTGCATATTCCGTTTACAATGACAACCTTGTCAGTCTGAAAACTTTCCACTAGTTTGTGCATTAGGAACTGTGTGTATGTGTTGTGTGAGTGCATGCATGTGCGAGTATATGTTTAGCTAGTATTTTGAAACTGTAACTGATAGCTGAGTGGCTATCACTGTGTCCCTGGATTTTACACACATCACTTCCAATGTGGCACTTTGCCACAATTCCTTTAGACTGATAAGACTGCCTTTAAGACCTTTGGAGGGAGTTCTTTAGAGGCAGTACTTCCAATTCAGCATCTGAAGATTCCACAGTGGGTATGATAATCCCTGTCCATTCATTAATAAACAAATGTTATGATGCGTGTATAAACATACTTGGTAAACATTTAAGATTTAGAGTTCCATGTACATGTAAAGGGTTTATCTAGCGTAATTCCATCGATGGTTTTGTTGTAGAGGTAGTAATTTCTTTATTTTTTGTTAATTCTCACCTGAGGATGTTTTTTCATTGATTTTTAGAAAGAGAAGAAGGGAGAGACAGAGAAACATTGGTATGAGAGAGACGCATCGATTGGTTGCCTCCCACACACACCCTGACCAGGGCCGGGAATCAAGCCTGCAACTAATATACACGCCTTTCACTGGAATCAGACTGGGGCCCTTCAGTCACCAGGCCAATGCGGATCCACTGAGTCAAACCGGCTCAGGCTGAGGTAGTAATTTCTGTTACAGCTTTTGATCTATCGGAAGCCTCTGGAAATCCAGAATCTTAATCTTGCCCTTGACAGGGTACAAAGCAATCTGCATTTCAAGATATTTGGGGCCACACTTCTGGTTTAGTAGCTCTGTTCCTCCTACCACATCTATAAACTAGAAACATCACACCCATCTTGATCTTACCTAGTAGATGTTGTGAAAATAAGAGAGATCTCTTGAGAAAGTTTTTAAAATTGTGAGAATGCCCTTCCTTAAGCTTCTCGAAACAGAATGTTAGGTTGTACATTGCCCAATCCCAAGGGGCTCAATAAGTAAGTTACACTATGAAGGATACATCTTAGTGTTGTACAGTGCACAATGGGCACAGAGAGCAGCTCTGATGATAGGTGATACGTAATTTCAAAGCCTGCTTTACTTTCATTCACTAAAAACTTTGGAGAATGGAAGGCTGGTAGCATAAATCTGAGAAGTTGCCATGTAGCAAAGAGTTTGGGGAGGTAGAGGACAGTATAGCCAACTAGAAAATGTGTGACTCACCTAAAGGATTTCAGATGTGTTACTTTTAAACTCTGGACTAAGTCTAGATAGAGTAGCTACATTTGTTAAGTACTTATTGAAT